AGTAAAAATTGACTGATAAAATGTTGAACATAAATATATGGAAAACACTATATTCGATCAAAACGAATCTTCACGTGCCTGATATAATATATATATATATATAATAATTTATATTATATTAAATATATTATTAACTATATTAGTCATGATGATCTGTTTTAATAAAAAATATGACGTTTTCCTCTCATTTGTATTAAAATATAAAATTGAATCTGATAAATATTATTTTACTCTAAAAATGATATGTTCCAACAGTAAGAAAAACGAGTGAATGTTAAGCATCGTCCATCAGAAAATCGTAGTAGAACGAGTCTAGGTATAATCGGACGAAGAGAGAAATGTAAGTATGGGCATATCTTCATTAATTAGATCTTAACAGAAATTGAAATAAATGGTTGTATAAAACTGCATAAAAAGAATTTAAAAGCGTGGTTTACGAATAAGTCAAGAAGAAGATTCTTACACTCGATTTACATAGCACATAGTTTAAATATCAAGTTAACGATCACGCGGTACACATGCCGTATTGAGCTAACCAAATTCACGTGTAACACATAAACATATCTGTAATTCCTTAACGTAGATAGAATAAATCGTGATAAGATTTATAAGAGAATATACATTCCCAAATACACTTCCTTACCAAGACGTAATCTAATCATATCTAACGGTAGATAAATATATGTATATATGCTAGCAAATTAAATATCCAATTTAATTATTATAAACTCTCTAAGAAATCTTTAAATGATCAATATTTGTTTATCAGACTCTGACGTTAACAATTACTGAACGTACGAAGGTCTTCAACACAAAAAATAATGATGCATATTTGAAAAACTAACATACTTTTTACGTTGTCATCGCGTGCGTGATAAATCTTGACAATATATCACAGATTTATAATCATGTCGTGTACTGGCAATAATTTCACTAATCAATCTTTTTGCAGGACCCATCATGTTAAAAAAAACTAACACTACTATAGATATAAAATTATACAAAACTGATATCGGTTCTCTCTCGATCTATGTCAAAAGATCATCGCTGTTCAATTTCAAATCGATACTAAATATTGATCAATCATGAAGCTCTTTCGAGCGATATATCCGACGAGTCTTTAACGACACGCTGCATCGCACCAATGGTCATCTCACTGGGTCAATTCTACGCTTCGTTTCTGTGCGTACTTTCTCTCTTTTAGTCACCTTCGATCGCACGTTTTAAGCCTCACGTTTATCGAATTTCTATTGTAAAATCATAAAAGTGGCGAAGAAACGCGGCCCGATCCGTTCACGCACCCATACCGGTGGCCGTTCGAACGTGGACTGACATCCGCCCTCTCGCACAGCGTCGCAGCGCGCGACCTTTCCACGCCACCACCCCGTCACGACCGCACCGTCAGTCTACTTCCACCAGCACCCTTCTCTCTTTCGCGTTCCCTCTTGTATCGCGTTGCCGTAACTTTCCCTCTATTGAGGCTTTCTCATGCTTTCTAATCTGCCCTTTTTCTTCAGGAGCCCCCTCTTGGTCCCGACTATCTATCCCTCTGCCACCGCAGAACTCTAACAATTTGCAGCTAATCGCGATTGCCGTGATGTTTTTTATGTCCTATAAAGTATTCACGTGTAAAAGTGAGACGAGTAAGAGTGGCGCGTGCCTTGCCCGGAAGATATTTTGTTTGTAAATTTTTAACGCTCTACATTTTCTAGATTGTATTACGTATGTTATACGTATCACGTAATAGATGCTTTCTTTTCAGAACTTTTCTTAGGAAGTCCTATTGTATTGTTTTTCCAAAATTTTATTTTGAAAATATTCAGTGTAAAAGGCTAAATAAGGCTCTGAATAAAATGGTTTTATTAAAAAATATATCTAAAAATATTGAGCAAACATGATGCACAAAAATACTTTGTATACAAGTATGTATATCAATAAATATCGAAACAAAATATAATACATTGAATTGACAGCAATTCAAGTAACAATGAAACATCACACAATTTTTCGTGCATTGCTCATTCTTTTGTTAATTTTTTGAAATTAAACATTATACATACAAACATCAATTATAGCTAATATGATCTTATAGAATGTAAGAGAGAGAACCTATTACTGACAGTGTCCCAAATACTGGCAATCTGATTTTAAATGCTTTTTTGAGATATCTATAACTAAAAAGGTATGGGTATCCAAAGATGGGCATGTTGATCAAGGTGTCTAAATCTATCCTGGTAAAGAAGATGCCACACAAGGCAATCTGAGATAAACTCGATTACTCCATGTGTGGAATTAAAGACCGTTTGTGCGCCGATCATGGGAGTTAGAAAGCGCGTTGATTTATTGATCTATACGTACTTCAACAAAGACGAAAAAAGGTGGAAAAGCTTCTCTTATACTATCAATAATAATTTTTTAAGTCTGTCGGAAATACTTGCCTCTCTACATAATACAA